TGTTAAGCTTAGGTATTTATTTCCTTAATTATTAAGTTTAAAGAATAATATAAATAATTTAATAGAATTTTAATAATATATATAAATTATATAAAATATAATTAAATATTAGTAATTAAATACTCTTTTTCTTTTAATAAAGAATTATATATACGCTATAATTTATATAAGAGGGTAATATATAAAATATTATTTACTAGATTTTAAGCTATAAAATGTATTATATATAATATTATATAGATTATTATATCGCGAGATATATTAGATTAAAAATGTAGCCTTTTTGTGGAGTTGTGGGATATAGGCCGGGGGGCGCAGACTTTTGGTACCTTACTGTAGGTACTAGGTACTTGGAAACGTCAATAGACCCGAGAAAGCGAATTGCCACTGACAGTAAATCCACCCACTTTCGGAAGTCGCATCCTTTATCCTTACAGTCAGGCCGAGTGGTAAGGACGACTGCCACTCGCAGAAATTGGGCACAGCTTCTTGGGCCGAACGACATCTACTCGTCTGCAAACAAACTCGGATACTTGAGAAAAGCGTTTTGCATAAGCATAAACATGCCCTCGGATTTGGCAGATTACCTTGCCTCTCGATACCTTGTGGCAGACCCTAAGCCTCACTCCAAGAAGCGCAAACGGAAACAGTCTACAACTAACGGACTTGTTATTACTGATGACGATGACACATCCTGGATTCATTCAGCCTCAGCGGCGGATAGACATGGAGAAGAGCTGCCATTAATACTTCCCGGGTCTACATCCGAATTTCGCAAAGCCACTAAAAACAATTGGAAGAGCTTGGGAGAGACAAAGGTGGACTCAGATGCAGCGGCTGCTGAAGCAATTCTTGCTTCAACTGCTGCGGAAAACGAATCGAGACGAATCATCGATGACGAAATGCCGACGATTGATAAAAACGATGGGTTAGTTATGATGAGCGACGGCACCCATGCTGGTCTCCAGAGCGCTGCGGCAGTTTCTGCTCAGCTCCAACGGAGGCAAAAGGAAGAGCACAAGGAGTTTGAGCGCCACAGAAGATCTGCGAAGGAAGAAGAGACCGTTTATCGCGACGCGACAGGGCGGAGAATCGACATATCCATGAAACGGGCTGAAGCCAGAAAAGCCGCCGCTGAGGCTGAAGATAAAGCTCAGCTAGCAAAGCAGGCTCTCAAGGGGACCGTACAGATGTACGAGGCGCAAAAAAAGAGAGAGCAGCTTGAAGATGCTAAGCTTCTTCCATTTTCTAGGAGCGCGGACGACGAAGGTATGAACAACGAGCTGAAGCAACAGGAGAGGTGGAATGACCCGATGCTTCAATTCATAAGGGATAGGGAGAACAAAGCAAGGTCTCAAAAGTCCGCTACAAGGCGCCGGCCAATGTATGCTGGAGCAGTCCCGCCGAATCGATATGGCATTAAACCCGGATATCGCTGGGATGGGGTCGATCGAGGCACAGGTCTTGAGGCAGAGAGGTTCAACGCGATTAACCGGCGAGACAGAATCAAGGGTCTAGATTATTCGTGGCAAATGGATGAATAGTTATATATATATATACTGCAAGATACCCCGTCAATCTTTTATATCAACGCCAGATAAGTTGTCGTTTGTGCCCTGTTGGAGACCAGAATCATCACAGTAAAAGAGTCTATCTTCGGCGTCTAAGCCGCTTATCCGGCCCGTAATCGCAGAGCTGTCTTACCAATTTTATCCATTCTCCTCTGGGCATTTGGCCTGGGCGGTCGCCAACCCTGCCATGGAACTGCTTTATCAGATCTGTGATAGAAATGCCATCAACCGGTATCTTATCTAATATTTCCCATGGCTCAATTCCAGTAGTCTGCGTAGTCGGTGACATACCTAAAATTGGGAAGGTTAGTAGGCACCTAAGAATTGCAAGGAAGACTGCCTGAGCAGACAACAATCTAGATTCATCCGGTAAAACTTACCGGCGGTTGCTGGATTTGGGCTGCCGGCCCTTGATGCGACCGGCGTTCCTTTCCCACTGCTACCAACCATCTTCACTCCTTTTCTAGGAGCAACAGCACTGTCGGACATCTCTGCAGTGGTTGCTTCTGCATCGCTACCAGAGCCATACCCGGCTTTGCTTCGCCGGGCCACGTTTGGCTGGGAAGCAGGAGTGCTGGCTCGGCTTCCATTGCCTATCATAGATTTCTTCATCTTCTTGCGAGATGACTCGTTTCCACTCGACTCAGATAATGCTGGAGATCCAGCTCGCTTCAAGGATTTGGTCTTCTTGGCCAACTCCCCAGGTTTCTGTTTCCCTTGTGGTGTCATAGATCCCTTAGAGCCCGTCCCCTTTACCTTGTCCTTCCCATCACCTTGTGTTTCTTTATCTGCATCCGTCTTGTCATCATCCTTATTTTCTTCTTCTCCTTCCTGTCCATCGTCACCGCTTGATTCTTCGTCAGACTACAGTTCATTGTTAGTTCGGTTTGACGGCAAACTGGCAATAGAAAGACACAAGCATACCGAACTACTCCAAGGGTTTTCCTCGGAGTCGTCGCTTTCATAGATATCCTCTCGATCTCGCTTAATCAAAGCCTTCTTGGTGCTCTTGCCATACTTTTGTCGCTCTAGTTCTTCTCGCAATTGTTCCTGAAGTTCTTTGTCGACTTCCTGCTCGTCGCCCTCGCCGAACAAGTTTGCTCCCAGCTGCTCTCGACGTATCCTGTCTTTTGATTCCTTGGTGTCATCATCCTCCATACGCTCAAAATACGGGGTCTCATCATCATCTTGAAATTCATCTCCGGATACATCCAGTTCGTCATGGTCAAGTTTCTCTGATCGTGAGGCCGCTTTAAAGGTGTCGCTCTCAGTCTTAATCATCTGGCCGCGACCATAAAGGAGTTTTCTCGTTGCCTCAAGATCACTCTGCCCAGCCTTCTTCTCCTCGTCCTTCATTATCCATCTGCCAACATCAACCTTTCTGTTCATGAAAGCTTCCGCCTGATCAATGGTAAAGGGCTGAAACGGTGGTTTCGCACTAAATCTATACCACTTTTCCAGAGGCACCATGCGAAAGACAGATTTATCAATCATGAAAGCCACGTTTGCTTCAGACAAGGCAGCAACGTAGCTGCCTACCCACACGTTCTTTCCATCTGCATCTTCAAGATGCCAAGGTAAAGCCTCTTCATACCGAAGATCTGATTCGTTCTTGGCTGCCTCGGATTTTGGAGCTCTGTTAAACATGGTTTTTTCCTCTTTCTGTTTTTTAGCACGTTTAGGGTTGTTGTCTTTAGCGACCGGTGCAATCTTTGCAAGGTCAATTGCGCGTTGGGCCTCTCGTTCGGCTTTAGCCTGTGCCAGCCTCTCCGCCTCCTTCTCATCGACTTGAAGTTGTTCCGGTTCCTCTACCTTGGTGGCTCTTCCGGGAGGAGGCTGTCGAGCGTCTCGTCTGTGTAATGTAACTGGGCGAGCAAATTCGTCCTGATCTGTGGGGTCGATGGGAGGGTCGGAAACACGAGCTTGAGAGAATTTCATGAGGTGGTAGCGAATACCTTCCAACAAGGATTTCTTGGTCGTCATTATAGGAATATCACTATATTGATGCTGAGGAGGGGGTTCGGACCAGCCACCATACTGTTTCCGCTGATCATCGTCATTTGGCTTGGAACCGTTAAGGCTCATCTGTTGCAGAGTCCCTGAATTTGCCTTCACGGCAGATTTTGATGGAATTTTTCTAGAGGGTGCAACAAGAGGGTTGGCTGGTCTCGGCCGCTTTCTCATGGGGCGCAGTGGGTTCGGCTTTTGATTACGATGAGCTCCATTCTGATCCATAGAAGGTTGTCCTGCCATCATGAATAGTATACTTGGACGAGGAGTCGATGTATTGCAGCATTGGCTTCAACAGACACTGCTACCGCGTGTGAGCTCCTCGTGACCGGTGTCACGAGTGTTCCGAAGGAAGACTTGGCCACCAAGGTGGTTAAGGGAGGTATTACCAGAGAAATGTCGTGTTCCAGATATATGCTCGTTTGTAGCTAGGTTTGGGTTGTCGATTTGCGGTCGGCGAGTGGCAATACCCCAAAGGGATCAAGGCTGCCGAGTAGCGTTTGCTTCCGAAATTATACAAGCCACCTTTTTGATTTGGGGCACTCTTTCAGGAGCTGTGATTTGACAACGGATATTAACAAATAATGGCCGTGATGGGCTGTCTGAATGATCAAGAAGTCGGTTGTTGAGGCACTGGGGTGGCGCTGGCTGCGAGACACAGCCTGGTTGAGTTTTACAGTGAAGGGATTGTAGCCGTGCCTTGCAATCTCCAGGCAGGCTAAAGAAAAATTTGGACACAGCCTGAGGTAGAAGAGCGAAGTGAGGACAACAATGACGATAAATTTGAAGTCGGCGTCTCGATACGTCCCGCCTTCGAAGTCGAAAGCATCGGCCTACCAGACGCGACTTGGACTGCTGCCTCAGGAATAGCTAATGGTTAGATGGTGGGTCCAGGAAGCCAGTACATGTACCTGCCTACCTAGGTAGGTATTACTTACCTACGCGTATAGCTCTTATTTTTAATAATAATATAATTATTATAAGAATAAGTTTTAAATTCTTCTTATTTATTAAAAGTTTAATATATTAAGTAAAAAATTTTATTTAATTATTTTATTATAATTAATAATTAAAAGATAA